GTCTCGTATCTATTGTCGTGACGTCATGGCTCACTGGCTCACACTTGCGATGTCTCGCACTTGTGATCAAATAACACGCTGGCTCGCACTTTGGCAACACTCTTTGGCAGTCAACTTGCCACTAGAAAACCCGCCCTTGGAAACTTGCCCCATAAAAAAATGTACATTTCCTAGACCATGCAGTCTTCAAAATAAAAATTGTAACCTTTTGTAATCAATTAAATTTTCCACATACATAGAAATTTTTGAAACTTCATTTAAAAAAACCTAAACCATAAATATAGTTCACCACTATAGACACTTTTTGACAAAAATGAAAAATTACGATTTTGTTACCCAATGAGAAGTGTTCTAATATAGACAATGGGTCGTGTCTCATATTATTTGTTATATTTTTATTATTCATTATTTTCACTTGACTCCCATAAATAATTTTGTTCGAAGAACATTTATATGCAGTTGTACTTCGCAGCACTTCACTTGCAATTTGCAATTTCTAGTCTTAGATCAACTTCTGATACTAATGCATTCAAGACCCTCCTTAAAACCTATCTCTTTTAATCAATAACTCTTTTATCTTTAAGCGCCAGTGACAAAAAAAAAATTTTTAACAGGCGCTATACAAATTCTCCAATTTATTATTATTATTATTATTATTATTATTATTATTATTATTATTATTATTATTATTATTATTATTATTATTAATATTATTATTATTATTATTATTATTAAATCGGACGCTTTAAAGCCCCTATCGCACTGGACTTAATTTGGTCAAATTAACCGAGTCACTGGCTAAATTGACCCAAAAAAAAATCCAATCCGAACGTCGGTTACAATTCCCTCAGGGTTAAATTAACCAAGCCCAATGGTTAATTTTACCGACCTCAGCCTGCCCAGTAAAACTTACCACGGTCTCGGTTAAACTAACCACGCTCGTCAAGAATTCCAATCCGAACGTGCAACACGGTTAAAACTTCTTCCATGTTGACACCGCTCGAACAAAACTGGCGCCCTCAATAATATTTTTTATACACAAGGTTAAATCCATAGAGTGCTGACAAGATGGCGGAGCAATGCAGAGTTGTGTATGTGTACCATTCAAGATGGCTGCCGTAGGAAAGCGCCACCTTCAGTCTTAGTATACATATTATTACCATAAATAAGCCCTCTGACTGAATATTATTTCATTAATGATAATTAGTATTGATAATGACAAACTATTAAACTGTCGTAGCCAAAAAGAAGCCAAGTAGAGCATCTTATTCAAATATTAAAAAGAATTAAAATCGTGTACATTACACCCATACACCGCAACGGTCAAAATACGAGTAACTAGCTGTACTGAACTTTCTGTGTAAATTGAGGGCGCAATTGAAAATGAGAGCGCTCAGGGGAAATTTGATTGGCTGAATCTATGGCAGCCATCTTGGATGGTACACACACACACAC